TTTGAAGCACTGTTTTGTTTTGTTTCATTGAAACTGTTTCACTGTTTTGACACTGTTTTGATGCTGTTTCGACACTTTACCCATAGGCTATAATGGGGAATCACAAAAATGCCTATAACTTTGTCAATTTACGCCTAATTCAGATGAAAATTGCAGGGATGATAGACCCTTCTGAGGGCATGAAGCATGTCAAGTTTCAAGGAGCTAGGTACAGGGTTTTTTGTGAAACTGTACCTCAAACTCTTCAAAGCACAATTAGCATCACTTGTCAGCAGCGGCAACCTGCTGTCATCCCGCACACAGATCCAGGGGCCCACTCCCCCTGGGAGGAGTCTGGCACAGCCTCACAACCCTCCCAGGGGGTGTGGGCCCCTGGATCTGTGTGGGCCACTACTGGCTGGGGCCAGCACCAGCACTGGCTTCTTCCCAGCACTCGCCATGAGCTGAACTGAGCAGACTCAGGTGCTGGCGCTGGCCCCAACTGGCAGCAGCAGCATGCTGTCATCCACATGCTCCACATCCGGTGAGTGCAGAGCTTCTAAAAAAAAAGACCTGCACTCACTGGCTCCGGCAGCAGCAATTGGGGCCTTGGAGGACTCGTTACAGAGCCTGCCCCCCACCCTGCGCAGCATGGAGCAGTGGGGGGGCAGCAGGGATCACCCCCCACACACCTGGCACCTGTGCAGCAGCTGCAACATCACATGGGTGCAGCATGGCTCAGCAGGGCGCCATGCACTGTCCCAGAGCTGGGGTGAATCCACCTGTCAGCCGGAGCTTCCAGTTTGATTCCCCAGCTCTCTGATCATTCCCCCAGCTCCTCCCAGGGGGTGCAACCCCTGGATCTGCACATAGGGTTTCATCAGGCTGCTGCCACCATCTGGGGAAATAGCCCAGAGCTGCCACCATCCCTAGCTGGCAGCAGCAGCCTGTTGTCATCCTGCATCATCCAGGGGCCCACATCCCCCAGGAAGAGCTGGGGGAAACATTGGGGAAGCTGGGGAATCAAACTAGAAACTGGGGGAATGTTCAGAGACCTGAACATTCCCCCAGCCCCTGGTTCAAGTCCCCAGCTCCCTGTTTGATTCCCAACTCCCAGTTTAATTCCCCAGCCCCTGGTTCAATTGCCCAGCTCTCTGGCCATTCTCCAGGTCTTCCTGGGGGGCACAGGCCCCCAGATCTGTGCACTGGGTTTCAGCAGGCTGCCACTGTAGGCTGGGACCAGCGGCAGCACTGCAGTCTTCCCAGTGCTAGGCACGGGCTGCACCAAGTGGCTGCTGCTAGGCCCAACCTGCAGCAGCCGCCTGCTGAAACCCCATGCGCAGATCGGGGGCCCACACCTACCAGGAAGAGCTGGGGAAGTGATCAGAGAGCTGGGGAATCGAACTGGGATCTAGATGTCAATATCAGAGCAGTCCTTCCTCCCACTCCTTAGTTTCTGTTTCGCTGCAAGGAAGCTCGGCTTTGGACTTGAAACATTTTCAAACTTTCAAAACATTTCAAGTGCCCTCATTTCATTTCAAAGCTGTTTTGAAGCCATTCGTTTCATTTTGATTTTGCTGTTTCAAGGTCAAAACAGCTTCAAAACAAACCACCCATCGAAAGGTCACAAAGCACTAATAATTATGCTACTCCATTCTTTACCACATCACAATGTCAGCTCTGCTGAAACACCTCAGTCCTAGTTAGAGACAGTCATATCAGTACCCCTGTTTCAGATTCCTCACCTACAGGGATCTGAAACTTTTCCAACACGCTTTCAGTCTGAAAACATGACACCAGGGGACTAAATTATTAGTGTAAATGCTTAAAAGTATAACTGCCACACAAATTCATAAAGAACAGTCCATACCCATTAGACAACAATCAGGAGTCCTTGTCATCTTCTACATATCATGGGAGCAAAGTTCCTAGTTTTCTTACTAGTACCTTGTAGCCAGGCTGTCCATCTTCTGAGCACAAGACCAGAGCAGGACACAGATCTGGAAAGTGTAACCCAAGCCCTTCATCCTCATCGTGCATGTAACCCAGCTGCTCCCAGCCATGTGTGTAACACCCAACCCCCCTTCCAGCTGCAGATGGCACAATAGCAATCCACCTGCAACACACAGCACAGGCACCCTGGCCCTCTTGCTGTGCTGCCCTGCACCCAGGAACAGAAGCAGAAACAGGAACCAGAAGCCAGAGGAGGGAGAAGGAGCCTAAAAAACCCAACCACCACCACCTCAAGGGCAATGGGTGGAGTGGCAGCCCATTGACTGCATATTAACCCCTTGAAGGCCACAGCCCTGCTCTAGCCACACCCAACCTCTCCTCAACTTCTTGTCTCTGGTCTCCAGATATGCCAGGGAGCTAGCTATGGTGATGCAGCATATGGCTCCATCTTTCTACCCCATTGCCCACCATTATTCTAAGATTCTTTTTATGAGGAATCTCTAATCCATTCCCCAAGCTGGCACTGATAGTGAATTAGGTAGGTCTGCCATATCACTCTGTGAGTATCCAGGTGAAATAACAGATTCTCAGTAGGGCTGTCAAACAGTTAAAAAATATGATCATGATTAGTTGCACAATTTAAAAAGTTAGTTGCAATTAATCGTGATTTAAATGGCACAGCTAAAGACTCAAAATTATGCAAAATTGTGCAGGCACTTTGCGTGGTTGGGGGTAGGTGTGGGGTATGTGTGGAAATTTGTGAAGGTGTGGGGTGCTGTGGGTGTAGGGGAGGGTTTGAAGCCCAAGAAGGGGGGTTCCTCATGTCCTGGCAGGATGTGGGGTACTGTGGATCAGGAGTGAGGGGCAACAGCAGGGCTGGGGAAGCTGTGGCTTGAGAGTGAGGGGAAGATACATACAGACACACGCCACCCAGCAGGTAAGACTGTGGAGAGGAACAGTCATGGAGGGAGCAAAGGGGCAGGGGGTGCATATTGAGGTCCCCACAATGAGGGAGTTGAGCAGGACCAGGGCCAGAGGTTGGAATGAATGGGGCTGTGGGGCCAGGGCAGGTCATGGGATGGAGCCATGGGTCGCTTGTTCAGGAGCAGGGAGAGCACAGCTCCCGCTGCTACACGCACCCCCAGGGGAGGCACAGGGGGCATGTGCCCCTGGATATGTGCACAGGGCATAAGTGGGCTGTGGGCTCAGGGCTCTGCTCCCTGTTGCTATTGCCTTGGGAGTTGTGCAATGCCATGCTGTGCCTCCCACCTCTGGGTGGGCAGGGAACATGCAGCATAGCCAGCGCGTGGCTCCCAGGGCATAAGCAGCAGGACAGAGAGAGCCCCAGCTCTCAGCCTACATCCCACCTCCACCCAACACACAAATCTGGGGGACACATGCCCCCTGTGCCTCCCCTGTGGATGCAGGCAGCAGCAGGAGCTGCACCCCCCACACACACACCCATGGATGAGCTACCCATAGCTCCATCCCATGAACTGCTCCAGCCCCAGGGCCCCATTCACACCTACCTCTACCCCATTCCTTCCCTCACTATGGGGGGCTCGATCTGCAACACCCCCATGCCCCTTCCCTCCCCTAGGTCCCTTCACCCCACAGACTTACCTGCTGGGTGCTGCTCCACATGCTGCTGGGCTGCATTTCTGGCCATGCACAGACTGTGGCTGCTTGTCTGTGCCTATGCACACCCCTCTCCTCTGCTGCAGCAGCCCAGAGCCTGTGCCCAGGCTGCCCTGCAGTCCTCTGTGCTGCCACTGCTGCCCCACTGGGCAGCCCAGAAGCAGTGGTGACAGTGATGGAACAGAGCCCAGGTGCAGGCTCCAAAACTGTGTGCGCAATTAATGTGTTAAAAAAAAATTATGTGAACACTGATTAATGCATTAATTGCACCTGTTAACTGCGATTAATTGACAACCCTAATTCTCAGGTTCCTAATAAGCCTTCTTATGCCAGTTTAAGGTTAACTAACACAGTTAATCTGTCACAATTTCATTGGAGAAGTCATTAGAGCAGGGGTTTTCAACTGGCTGGACATTTTTAGTAAGTGTACCCCCAGTGGCCAGGGGGCAGGGCACACGGCCAGGCATGGAGCAGGGGGTGAGTGCATGGAGTTGGGGTACACTTACCAAAAAAGGAGCAGTGGCAGCATGGGGTGGTGGGACACAGCAGTGCAGGGTGGTGGGAAACTTTCCCCCTTCCCCCGCTCCCCACCACATCTGGCAACCTGCAGAGGGGCACCACTACCCTCAGCCACCCCCAGCCCTGCTCCTGGGAGGTAGTGGTGCTTCATCCCTGCCCGCCCACACATACTACCTAGGGCCTTCCCAAGTACCACCAGGGATACACAAACCTGACTGACAACCCCTGCATTACAGTGTAAGTAAGGAAATCTAGTGGGTCTGTACAATGCCCTAGGAGGAAATGTTCTTACATTGCTGCTGTAGATTGATTAATCTCCAAAATATTTTTATACTGATTGTAGGATACCTATGGTTTGACTCACGTGTTCTGCAAGGTGAACTCCACCTCCAGTTCCTCATGTGACTGAAAAGGAAAAAAATGGCATAAGACTTTGGACAGATGTATTTCCTGACCATAAATCAGAGAAATGCTTTAAAATGTACCCAAAGGAAATTGTGCCTAATTAAGAGGTTGAATTCCTAACCCGAGTTGCTAATTGTGACCGACTATGAAGGGATTTTTTTGTTATAATGCTGATTTAAATGTGTTCATGTTGAAATAATGAAGCATGCCTCAGTTTCCCTGACTAGCATGTAAACATGACAAGAAGTAGTTAACTGTGTTTGGAACCACAGCTGTGGAGATTTGCCTGAATGCCCTATTAGGGGTAGTGGGCCACCAAGCAACAAAAACACTAATTAGCCTATGCTGACAGTGGAGTGGACTCTGAACAAACATCTGAAGAAACTCCCTTCTGTTTCTGGAGTCAAGGAAGACCTTGAAAAGAGGAGAGTACACTTGAGAGAAGGTCCTGGAAAAGGGAGGTATCCAGAGCAGTAGTAGTCCCAGGTGCCCACTTTGAGGGTGGGAGGGAGCGGGTGTCTGGGGAAAGGCATAAAAATAGCAGCTTCTACCAGTGGCAGCACAGAGCTGCCCTCTTACACCTCTGGCCCAGAGATAACGGGAAGAGAGAGATGGCAAGATGAGGGCAATCAGAGATTAGAAAGGGAAAAACTGGGGCTGTTTTTCTCAACACACACAGCTTGTGCTTTGAGGCTGAATTTCTATTTCTTGTATTGCTATTACCTAATAGTAGCTGTTTTGTTTAAAGAAGAGCTGACTATTTTGCTGCTTTGGGTGCCCCCATTCATTCAAAAAGGTTCATTAAAAAACCTTAACCAAAATGTAGCTCTCAGAGTGGGCCAGGGACCAAAAGATCTTGGAGTCCAAGGAGCTGTAGTTTCACCCACTCGAGTAGCTACACTTGGGCTGTCTTTAGAGGCTGGCTTCAGACGTACTAGAAAACATTATACAAGGCTGGGGATGCCAAGTAAGTGTTTGCCTAGGGAATCTGTGACGCTTATTATCTACATTTATTTGCCATTACTTCTTCAAGTATCCACAATTGGGATTTGGCTATCCTGTTTAGGCTGCCCGTGGTTGAAAAGTGAACTCCTAGTGCAAAAGCAATGATTTTTAAATCAGTGAAATCCAAACTGATTGAGAAATCAGGCAAGTAAACTAATAGGAATACTCTAAAAGAGCTTATTGATTATGACAGTCTCCATCAGTTTTAGTTTTGGCAAACCAGCAGAGAGGTTTTCAGAGAACAAGTATGACCAAGTGTGTCAACCCATCTACAATTTCAACTGGCCAAGAGTGCTGACATTTTAATCAAGCTCTTCATTACAAATATGGCAGAATGAAAATTCAACAGGGTTTTTCATTAACCATCTGAAGAATGTTGTTATCTCAGTAGAAGGCAATCCTATACATAGGAAAAAACAACAAAATAAAAGTATAAGGAACTGTTTAGGAGGAAAATCCAAACAAGAGTTCCTGTCTTTTCTCTAAATGTATTGCTGACCTCTGGATTCAGTTGGAAGGTCACATGAGCAGTAGGTCCAACACTGAGTTTGCTTATGTCAAAGAGAACTGTACAGAGTTCATCATCTTTGGTGACTGTATCCTCATCACAGACTTTGAGCTCCAACATATTCTAGAAATAAAAGCAATGGATTTAATAAACACCATATTTTGTACTTCAAAGTGTCCATGAAGGAGGAAATCTTTAAGATTAAGTACATTTAGTATGCACATGTAAGGAAAGGAAGTAATGGGAGGAACAAGGATATAGGAGAGAAAGAAGGGTGAATAATTAGCTTACCTACTCTGCACTGAAGAAATGCACTCTAATACAGGTTTTTACCTAGGCATGATCAAGGGCATGATTCTAGGCCCAAGTAAGTCCTGGTTTACTTTACTGTGGAAGCAAAATTATCCACTCAGTTTATAAGCATCAGAATCTTATACTGAGCCCTGAGTGACATCTCCAGGATCCAACAACAAATGCAGTTCTGGAGACTATAACCACTGCAGCATTTACAAAGGAGAAAATGCCTCATATAACTGGACTTTTGACAACCTCACACATTACAGATCAAAATCAACCCTCTGAACTATACTTAAAAGAGACAGGCAATCAGTGTGACACAGGAACCAAAACAGTCCACAAAACTGCTATATGTTTAGGGACTCAACCTTTACCTAAAAAAAAGGAGAAAAATTAATCAGAATGTTGGTGGAAGAATATTTTTTGACTAAAAATATGAAGGTTAACTAAGAATTCTGATGAAAAAAATCTATTTGGTTAGGAAAGGAAGAATTGGAAGATATTCCATTAAGATAATAAGGTACTTAATTATTGTTGTCATAGGCGACTGGTGGGGGGGCACATGCCCCCCCTGACAGGACTGTCCCCACTGCCAATGCCACTTGCAACTTCTGCAGGTGTTCGCCAGCCCCATCCCTGCCACTGACACCAACACTAGCTTCTGTGGGTGCCCTCCCAGACTCAAGAGGTACCAATCACCCATGACTGTTGCTACATAGAAGGCACTGAGATACTATGAAGATAAGTGGAATTAGAAATGTGCTAGCTATAATTATTTGCTGTATTTGCTCAGTGTCTTGGGAAAAGGACTGAACACATTATTTTGTTGCATCTTCCACCAACAATACATGGACAGATATTTAATATTTGGAGATTACAGAAGGTAAACCTACATGGCAACTACATGCACTTACTGATATGTGGTTTATATTTTAATCTCTCTCTCTCCATGTGAGTGTGTGTATACACACATAGAAATACATACTAGAGGGGTAGAACATAATGGAATGTGTTGTTATGAGTTCAGAACGATTGCAATGTGCATGAATTGAGAGCCATACGTGAATTATGCAAGTTATCCCAAACAAATGACATTAAAACCCTTCTAACACACCGCACAATCATGAATTTTGCATGCAACAGTACATCAAACATGTCTTAGTGTAATTTACAGTTTTAAAAAGAATACTGAGATAATCATCATATCTTGTAAGTGCAAGTGCCTTAGCTGACAGAAGTCAACAATCAGATATATAGTGCACCAAGGAAGACATAGAAATTACCTAAAACAGTATGTCTCTGTCTAAAGTGTCTCAGTTTTGAAATATGCTATCTTGGAACTTTTTAGTTCCTTGGATACCTTGGATACCTTGTAGTGTGAAAACAAAATTAATTCAGGCTTAGTTAAGATTTTACCTATCAGCACAACTTCAGGTTCTTTTCATAAATAAGATGCTCTCATTTATGTTACCTTGACACGACGGTCAATCCTGTAGCAGAAGGCTTCATTCCAGACTGGGTTTTTGCAATTCTTTATGGTTTTGGTCCGGATCTTCTCAGGTGAGGCAGTTGGCAGCCACAGAGTCACATAGCAATCAGATTCACTTACTATACAAAAAAAGATAAATCATAAGTAATAGTTTATCCAGCAGTCAGTATTGATGAAAGAATTAATGCATAAGTCATTTAAACTGAGTGAAGATAGAATATAGTAGCTGTTTTTCCCCACTTCTTTCAAAGGGATACATGCAGCCCAGGAGGCAAAAAAGTAGGTAGTTTAATAAAACACTCACTAAAAGAAGAAACAGCTTTGACACATATCTTCCACCCCATTTCCACTTCTATATGATACAACATCTTTTTTAAACAAGTGTTAGAACAATAAAAAAGTTGTACACAACATACACACATCTATATGTACATAAAGAGATATCTATACCTATACCAGTGATTCTCAAGTTGTTTAGGCTCAAGGCACACCTTCTTAAACTCAAGGCACCGCTAGGAAAACACCAGCTCTATGTTTTCACTCATTTTGTGACTACAGAAAAATAACATAGCAATTTTTGTGTTGCAAAGCACTCAGATTACAACTGGACAGAATGGTTTTAACACTGTGGATTCCTATCTGAAAACTCTGGGTTTGTCTTGTAAATTGTGCTGACACATCTAACAATGTTAATATTGTGTGGCACCCCAAGACACCCTTAAAAGGATTTCAGGGCACCCAGCTTGAAAAATTACTGATCTATATCTATTTCCTGATATATATAGCTACACACACACACACATACAAATGTCTAAACCAGTACGTTGGGCATATTAGAACTGTGCTATACTGACATACCCCCTCAAACAAAACCACAGAAACAAGGAAACAAAATGTTATGGCACATGGTACATTCAAACTACTTTTCTACCCAGAGGCACTACAGCACTACAGACACCTCTCTAGAGCACAGTACTACATCACAATCTTAACTCTGCCCCATAGGGATGCCAGACTTGTACTACTCTTCCTTAAGTTCAGCATGAGTGCTGACCGAAAAAAAATCATTAAAGTTGTTTTTATTTTAAAAATGCCTTTTAAAACCAAACTTTCAACAGTAAAGTATTTATCAGAACAGTTTTCATAACTCAAAATATGTCAATTTTCAAGCAAAATCAAACAATAAGAACTTGCAACAGCAAATAAAAATGTTTTATCCTCATCAAAAAATGTTTTTGGAAACAAAATCCATTTCTTTACCACTCAAACAGCATATCTGTGCAAGGGGTTTCCATCCTACTGTCCTTTCTGAACAGGTCTGGAAGACCTGACATTTGGGGAAAAAGTAACTCCTCCCAACTCATATTCTGGGAGAATCCTGCAAGATATCTTCAGGGAATCAAAATCATGGGTCAGCGATTAACCCTTGTCTGGAGATGTCAGGTGCGCAACATTCTCACACACAGGATTATCTATTAGTCACTTTTCCCTCTTCCACCTTAACAACACTTTACTCACTCACTCATCTTGATCTCAACAAAGGACCATATAAAATAGAAGAGGTAAGGGTACTGGGCCTTTGACAAAATCCTTATTTTATGCTCAAGGCTTGTCATATATTTTGTTATATGGCATTGAGTATAGCTGTATTTGTGCCAGAGTCTTTTACAAAGTGCTAAGAATGTAGACTATTCCTCCTTCACCATTTCTCCAGAGCCAGACATTTATCTTGCTGTTAATAAGATCAGTGCAGACTGGCATCAGTTGCAAAGTCCAATGCTCCTCATAATCATTTTGCACATGCACAAGTTTGTCCATGTGCATGTTGGAATGATTAATGGTGATCAGTGCTAAATCATATTCCATTATCAAAGCAGTTGACAAATATTACTGAAGCAAGCTGTGAAGTAAGCAGATGAGTATTTACAGCTGGTTAAATTGAAAAAAACAAGTTGAGTGACTTGCTTAACAGGTTTAATGGCTTGGCTAAATCAGTAGCAGAGTCAGAATCAGGACTGTCAACCGTGTCCCAATCCAGACTCCCAACGCTATGTCTAATTCATCAGATCAAACTGCCCGGAAATAAGAAATATTTTTAGGAAAAGTAGAATGGCAGCTCTCAAAATATATTATAATAAAATATATAAATATATTATTTATCAAATATATATTTATTTTAAATATATATTTTATTTTCTTTCTTATAAGAGTAGGAATCAAAGCCAGAAAGATAAGGGACAAGCACCAAAAATAAATCTGTCCACACCTCTCCCTCTGCCATAAAGCAAAATATAGAAAATTAAGACTCTTGGTACAAGAAAGAGCAAAAGACACTGACAAGGAAAAGAATAAGATTTCATTTAAGTATCAAAACAGCTAAAGTAGAGAACAATAATATGAATATGAACATTAATCTTTAATGTCAATGATTTAGTAAGAGATGTTGAATTAAAGTTGATATTATTGGTAATATTTCCCCGTCCCTCTCCCCCAACTAAAATTTTGAGGTTTTGGTGAAAAATTGAAAGCTAAAGTATTTTAATTCTGAAGTTTCATCATGGGAGTTATATTTTCAGTACTTTATGTTTCTGTTCTGCATTAGCTAAGTATTCAGTTTTTCACCAAAAAATACAATTTTCCATAGAAAGGAAATGTATTTTAATTTTATTTTCACAAAAACCTAAGTTTCTGTCAAAAAATATTTGGCCATCTCCACTACTGCCTTGTGCCCAGGGCCAAATCTAGCCAAGGGGCACCATGGTCCAGACCCAGCCCAGGGCCCCAGGTAAGTTTGACACCCCTGCACTAGGTGAACACCTTTGCAAATAAATAAGATGCCTTTAAAACCAGAGAATGAGATGCGGCAGAGCCCCACTACACGTCACATTGCAAGGCAAGCGGGAGCAAGAAGCACAGAAAGTCGCGTAGCTGTAGGAGCTATAAATTCTTTTATAGTAATCATCTTGAAATGACCTAACAAACTTCTGGAAGTATCAAGCACTGTATTGACCCATCTAGCACATGTAAAATGTAACTTCAGAAACATCTTTTTCCTACCATGGTGTAACAGGAAGCCAGGGATTCCTTGTTTCTATTGAGCAGGAGCTAGCAGTGAAGAGAACCCCAGGAGGCTAGGCTACTTGCTAAGAACAGCAGAAGAACAGGCGACCTGACCACCTTAGGCTGGGGCAGTGCTAATGGCACTGAAATAGTTTAACAGGCCAGAAACTACTTGGTATGGCAGTCTGCCTGCTGCAAAACTAGCTGTACCATAGTAGTACCAGGGAGCAGAGCACTGGCTCCAATCCCAGGAGCTGGAAGCTGTTGCGAAGACAACTAGGCAGTTAGCCTGAAGAGAAGCATTTGTAGTGGCCAGGAGGTCATAAGACCAGAGGGGCAGAGCCTCAGCTACATATAAATTCAGGGTTTGAGTCCAGAGCAGGGGCTGTCTTTCAGGCTGCCAGGGAAGCATCTCCATACTACAATGGCTGAGGCTGAAGGACTGTGAGAGATGCCCCTCTGGGCTGATTACAAGTAAAGACCTGAGAGTTGCCTATGAGTTGGACTTTCTTATGCAGCCAGAGTCCTTGATTTTATTCATGGCCTGAGAGCTGACTTTTCTGTTATAGTTATAACTGGAGGACTGGGATTGGGACTGATAGGACAGATGGAGGCGCCTGAGGGATGCATGAGGATAACAAACCCTGCCAGGGGCTGCGCTCAAAACTCAGAAAGATCACAGCTGAGGAAGGCTGCAGCCTAAGGACAAAAGCAAGCCGGAGGCCCTGAGTAGTGCAGCTGGGGCCCTAGAGCGAAGTTATCAGGACCCTAGGGGCAAGACTAAAACCCTTGAACAGAGAAGAGGGATCCCAGAAAGGATGAGACCAGAGTTTTGAGGAGCAAGAGCCATGCCCTTAGAGGGGAAGCCAGACCCAGAAGGGGACAGACCCAAGCCCTTGGAGGTGAGACCAGAAGACAGATGAGACAAGATACTGGCTTGGGGTCATGGGATCCTCCCCCAGGATGATGAACAGTTAACACCTGTGAAGCATTGGTGTGGGCAGGCAGAGACCACGGGTACCCATAAGGCGCTAAGCTACCAGAGCCACTGTAAGGACGAGAAGAAGGCGAAACCAGTGATCTCCCGGGCAGCCACCCAACTCTTTTTTCCTAAAGTAACATCAAAAGCATGCCAGGCTAGGAAAATGGAGAGACTCCAAAACCAGAGAGGCAGAAACTGAGAAGCCACCAGGGCAAGATCAGCCAGCCTTGGACATGAATCTCGCTATACATGGCTTAAATTTCAGTGTGTAAGATATATTGATATATCAATAAGGCCTATCTACAAATATTGACTGAAGTACTAAATATTGCCTGTTGCATGATCTGAATCTGAGCCTGTTAACCAAATTATATTGAGTCACGTTCAGCAGGTTCTGTAATAACATAATGTTTTCTTTCTTGTGTCTTTGACTTCGGGGTTTTGCTTTTCTTCTGCTTGGCATTTTTTTCTTTTTCTTTTACTATTGATTTAGCTCCCTTCTCTCCCTGGATTTCCACATTCCTTGGCTCACAAGATTAATCATTCTGAATTTCACAACCATCTGTTGCATTACTACTTTTGCATTACTTTTGCCAATGGCATCACCCCAGCTGTCAGTGCACTCTGGGCCTTGGGCCAAGTGACACCTGGATCTGTGGAAAGGAATCACACACTTCCAGACATGAGCAACAGCCAAATGGAAGCTCTCAAGTAAGATGAACATTTTAAAATTCAGAGTAGAGCAAAGTTGTTTTCAAATCTGCATCCAGCCATTACACTCATTTTGCTTTTCATTTACCATGAGTTTCATGTCCTTGTGGTTTCCAGAATGAATGTACTGCTAAATCCATCATTTCAGGAAGTTGCTCCTAATGTTAAATACACCCCTCAATTCTTCCCTGTTGCGCACACACCCTTCTGAGCTCAAATTAGGTCTGACAGCATCAGTATGTGAAAGAAAAGCTGGTACAGTGAGGTTTCTTTTTTAATCCTAATAATTACTGAATCATGTTAACGTCTTTGTGGGCTGCTTCAAAGTAAACCAATTTGCTACTTTAAGATGAAGAAAAAAATGCATCTTTTTATACCACAAGAAACACATATTCTGGCAAGTTTACAACAATGAAATATGGCTGCATATGTGCAGGCTAATTCAAATAATACTCTTTTAAATATAATTATTAAAAATAAAAAGTGTAAGTAACATTTAAGAGATGTAGAAATACTCACACAAGTCTGCCTTCCGGAGATTTCTCACTCTTATTATTTTTACAGTGAGCAAGTTGTAAGGAGATATTTCCTTCTGAAGAACAACGGCAAAAAAGAGACATGGATGAGGATTAAAGTATGAGTCTTTCGATCCACATAATAGTATAAAGGTTTAATTGGCCTAAGTGTGCAGTGACCACAGTAATTACAAAAGGCAATGGCCTCTGTGACTTCTTGATATTCAGGTCATATGAACAAGGACTAATTCAACTTGTTTATCTTACTATTTGTGCGTCTGTACATGATATATATTTTACAGGAAAAATGTTTTAGACATTTAGTAGAGAATGTTAAATGTTTTAACTGGAGTTTCTGTACATTCCCGTAGACCTAAAAATAGGTCTGACTTTGAGGTGTTTGTACAGCGCTCAAAAACAATGAGGCCTTAATCTACCTGGCATTTTGGACACTTACCCAATTTACATAATGGGGCAGATCCCAACCCCCAGCTTCATTGCTGGAGAGGAAGGATTGTCTTCTGGAGAGATGTCTCCTGGAATGGGTGTCACTGGAGATGTGTCACTCTTCCTCTGGTCATAGAGTGCAAGATAGGGCATGAAGGGACAGAGCCAAAGTTCAAGCACCCTAGCACTACTCAATTAGCAGAATGGCTGCTAGGAAACAACTCAAGCTGGTGTAAGTTAAAGCATCCTATTGGCACCACTCAGTATTTTAGCACCACAGCTCCTAAGCCTATCCAAACTCCAAGTTTTAATGGCAAGCAAGGGCAAAGTAACATTAAGTGGATTCCACAAATTGTACCAGACCAAATGCAGCACAACTGAATTGCACCTGTTTTGCTATATCCAAGGCCTCTACAGCCACAGAGTAGGAAGCAAGATTTGGACACAGAGAGAAAATGTTCACCCTTTTGTAAGTAAATTACAAAGTCATTAAAATAAATGAACTGACTTAACACTCTGTGCAATGCAGGGTTCAAATTCCAGGGCTTTTTCTGCATTTTACATTATTCAGTATTGGATAAAACAGAAGGATCTATGAGACATACTCATCCTCTGCATTTCCGTACTAAATATTTAGTGTGGCTGCATGCTGAGCGTGCTGATTTAGGAAGATCCTGTCTGTTCTGCATCCGTCTGAGATGCCTGCCTCTCTCCATGTACTGTACGGGAGGTGCAGGCACCTTACACATTAATAATGGGAAGCATAACAAAGAAAGCACCTAGTTTGATTCCATAAATGCAGGCTGAGTTTGCAGGGCTAGCAATTAAAATACGCACATTTTCACTTGTATTCAGAGTAAATCTTATTAGGTTTAAGACAAAGAAAATAAGCAGCTCTGCAGTACGGTTTTTATAGAGTTACACTTGAGAGAAATCTTTATTTTTCTCTGGTACATCACTTCAAACACAAGAGGCAAAGCATAAAAATGACTCCAGGCCACCCTTGCTGTCATCAGATAGGAGCACTAGCAACAGGAAATTCATGAGGCAAGAACCAAACACCTGCTCATCTTGATGAGTTATAAATAAATCCCAAGGGCCGAGGAGCTTTCCACTGCCATCTCACAGAAACAGACTCCCCCTGTCTGCTGTCACCAGTGACCAGAGTGACCATGTCATAAAAACTATTCCTCCAAAGACAGGTCATTTGTAGCGCATAATAAAAGAACCACGAGTAATGCCATGCTCCTCCAAAACACCCTCAGATATACCTGTGCTGCCATATCTTCATTTTTGCTTTAGCTGGCTCTGTAACTTTTCTGTGTAGTTCCCCCGTACCAACCTATCTAACCATTCACTGTGGCTACCTGGTAGCCTAACAGATTGCCTTTTTGTCTGCTTATCTGTTGAATTGTCAAATCATTGTCACCAGGTATACTGTCTACCCATTCTTTGCTTATTTCCCATCTTCATTAGTTGTCAGTTTGTTAACTGATCCCCTTTTCTCTTCATTTCTCTTTACTACCACATGCAGATTTTGTCACTCAGCTCTTGGCTCTCAAATAGCTGCTCTGCAGCTTTTCCATCCCCTGCTCACAACCAGCCTTCAGATTTCACAGACCACCCATTTAGCTTCCATATTTCCCACGTCCACTCTCCCCTTGCTTCCACACTTGCTATTTCCCCTCCCACCCAGTGACTTGTCCCCACCCCATCACTAGAGCTGGCCACTTCTGCCTCAAAGTTTGCCATGTTGTTGTCATCTCCGCCTCCCCATTCCTCATACACACTTCTGCTTCCACTCCCACT